ATTCCTGCCCTAAAGTGGGATTTTCCCATTTTTTGAATTTAAAAAGTGCTGACAGGTGTGATTTAGTGTGGGGCCCTGAATAGCTGGATTTCTGATAGTATCTGTTAAGTAATGTTCTTGGTGTCTAATGGGATTTTTAGGCAAATGGATTTCTTGGATTAATAGCATGAAAATTATTTTTCAAAAGACCATATTACACTTTAAATTTTAAGGTGTTTGGATCACATTGTTATTTTAACAGATATTCTCATGGGATAATTAAAAGGTGCACATTGAAAATGAGTTTCACATTGCACAGTCACTTTGAGGCTCATTGCTAGTTACAGTACTGATTTTCATCAGTTGAATTCAACAGTAGAGCTAGCTCACATTAGGGCCTATCTATATTCACTATGGAGAGAGGAGCCAGTCATGCTTGGATATTTCTAGGCTCCTTAAAATATAAATAAAATCCTTTGCTTTTGTGTTCACTTCGGATTTTATAAGTAACATTTCCTTTCAACCAAGTAAAAGCCCACTGGCAGATTAAATGTATAAAGCATCAAGCAAATGCACAGTTGGACATTCCTAAACATCTGCTTCTGAGATAGTAATTTAATTTTTTCAATATCCAATAATTTCGAGATGCTAATAGTATCTGTCAGTGAATGTTTTCTTGGATTAATATTTTTGAAGTATCTCTGTATAGAATTTTTAAAATATTTATTTATACTCTTCAAAGTACAGTTATATGCAAGTGCAGTGTTGTCACATGCCTGTAATCCCAGTGGCTTGGGAGGCTGAAGCAGGGAGGTTGTAGGTTTGAAGCCAGCCTCAACAACTTAGTGAGACTGTAAACAACCTCAGGAGACCCTGCCTCAAAATTAAAAAATAAAAAGAGATAGGGATGTGGTTCAATGGTTAAGCACCCCTCAGTTCAATTCCTAGTACCAAAAACCAAACCAAAACAAAACAAAACAAAAACAAACAACCAAATCATTTGGTTAAAAAAATCAAATAGTACAGTCAGGTATTGAAATGAGATGTAAATTCTCCACCATACCCAATCAAATGTATACTAACCTGCCAAGGATTTTGTGAAAGTGGGACCACAGGACTACTGTTGATCATTTCTTTTATATCTATAGCACACAAAAACAAAAGAGAAAGTTAAAAACCCACACCTGCTATGCACATAAACATACACATCACACAATACATATCCCAAGTGGGCTCATATTCTACGCATTGTTCTGTATTGCCTTTTTTGCTATTATTACATGTATCTTGGAGATGTGTACCTTCTTATAGTTTTGATGGTACACAGTGTTCATTCTGTGAACATACCATAATTTTTAAATAGTTCTTTACTATGAGGATTTGGGTTATTTTTATTTTTGTGGTTAAACACCACATTGCAACTAGTTTTCATATTCATATGTCTTTTTTTATCTGGGAATACCTTTGCAGTTGATTCACAGATAAACCTTATCAGTGGATTTAAAATTGAAAATATGGATTAACCATTCAAGATCATCCTGCAGAGAGGTCACCCTAGTTTATCTTTTCCCTAACAGTATCTGTCAGAGTGCTGCTTTTCTCTGGGTTTTTATTACTTGTCTCATATCTTTGCTCACTCATTTCTTCTGTGCACGTGAACTTTTGTTTCTGGAACTGGTCTCCTTAATGCTGTCTTATGGCAGGAAAGAATACCCTTGAAGAAGGTATTCTTTGAAACTCCTTGACATATTATTATGCCTTTGTGCAGCATCCAGCACAAAGATCAGTGTCATTTTGGGTGCCCTTTCCTAGCTTTTTCCACCCACCTCCATTAGAATTGACTAGCATAGGGTAGGCAGATAGTAATTGGGGAAACAACATTTTTTATAGTAATTTTATAGATGTTTAGTGTGTATGTGGGTGTTCTGGGCACAAAACCCCCAAACATTATGGAGGCTTTAAAATTTCAAATTTCCTTCATAAAAGTGCAAGTTTAACAAATAAAAAGGATGTTTTATTTAACTGTACAAGAACAAAATATATGGCTTCCTATTGTGTGTATGCAATATCTGACATTAAAGAAATGTTAGTTCTCATTCTCTCTCTGAACCTTCTAAAATCAGCAAATCAATGTTTAAATATTGAGTTATAAATTTTGGAAGATAGAGATATGAGATATTTTCAGTTCTCTAAAGAATTTTAATATCTTGCTAAATAAAAGATAGCTAACTTCTGTAGACAATTACAGTGTGACTAAACAATTATGGAGCACATTAGTGCTCTAAGGTATGGTTACCTTTCATAAAAAGATAGGTCACTCGGGCCTTGGTCTGATCTTGAAGTATGTAGAGTACCTTGGATGTCCATATGTAATACATTCTTCCTCTGGCTTTAAATCCATCCTGGCAATTGCATTTACATAGTAACTTCTAGGTGCTTCCTAACTTTGAGAGA